CAACGCTCCTCAATGTTCATAGGTCACAATTCTTTTCACAACTTTACACAACAAATAGAAGTTTTCACCAAGGCATGAATAATACAACGAAATCATGGAAATCACAATATAAGACTCATGGTCATGCTCGACATCGACGTATAGATACTCGTCACCATGCCTATATGTCGTACTCAACAAGAAGCAATTAGCAAATAGGACACAACTCCTAATCCCTCAAGCTAAGGTTAGACCAAACACTTACCTCGAACTTCCACGGCCAACTCAAGCCTCAAGCACCGCCTTTCCTTTCGAATTCGGATCCAAATCAATCGTATCTATACATAATCAACTTTATAACATCAACAAACGCTAAACAATTCAATTCCAATGCCTAATTATAGCTTTCTAATCGTTCTTCCCAAAAATCCAAAAATCGACCCCGGGCCCGCTTGGTCAAAACACGAGGTTTGAACCAAAATCCGATCCCCCATTCACCCACGAGCCCAAATATATAATTTGTTTTCAAATCCGACCCCCAAACGAGGTCTAAATCATAAATAATCAAAAAGCCCTAATTCTACCCAAATTCCTAATTTTCTACCCTTAATCACATGTTTAGGCCTAGAAATCTAGTGGGTGTTGATAAAAATGGAAGAAACAAGTTAAAGATTACTTACCCAAGAGATTATGGTGAAGAAATGCTTCAAAAATCGTCCTAGAGCTTTGGAGAAGAAGGGGTTTATGAAATCTTTATAAAATCCCAAAAGTGATCTGTTTTTGGTCTTTTAAAAAAATCACTGGGCGAAATTGTCTTTCGCGATCACGACAGACCCTTCGCGTTCGCGATGGGTCAGGCTGGATAAGCCTTCGCATTCGCGACATCGGGCTCGTGTTCGCAGAGAGTAAACTCCTCGAGCCCTCGCGTTCGCGTCCAAAGGGCCGTGTTCGCGTTGAACAAATGAGAACTCCCTCCCCAGGCCCATTGCCTTACGCGTTCGCGTGTACCTGGACGCGTTCGCGAAGGGTACTCCCCCCTCAGCCTCGCGTTCGCGTCTCAGGCTTCGCGTTCGCGAAGAAGAAAACTGGCACTTGGGATTTTTGCCTTATGCGTTCGCGAGTGGGACCACGCGAACACGAAGAACAAATTCCATGTGCACTGAACAGCAAAATCTGCAACATTTCTTAAGTTCAAAAACCTTCCGAAACACACCCGAGCCCTCGGGGCTCCTAACCAAACATACACACTAACTCAATGACATCATACGAACTTATCCGTGCGATCAAATCGAAATAACCTCAATAACAACGAATTAAACCTCAAAATCAAAGAATTTTTCTCAAACTTCATAAAACATCAACTTTTGCAATTTAGGTCCGAATCACGTCAAATGACATTCGTTTTTCACCAAATTTCACAGAATCATCTTAAATCATATATAAGATATGTACCGGGCGCCGGAACCAAAATACGGGCCTGATACCAACATGTTCTAGTCAAATTTCATTTCAAATTCCTTTAAATAATTTCAAAAAATAATTTTCTTCAATAATTCATTTCTCGGGCTTGGGACCTCGGAATTTGATTCCGGATATATGCCCAAGTCCCATATTTTCATACGGACCCTCCGGAACCGTCAAATCACGAGTCCGGGTCCGTCTACCAAAAATGTTGATCGAAGTCAACTTAAATGCATTTTAAGTCAAAATTTCAATATTTCACAGCTTTTTCACATAACATCTTTCCGGCTACACGCCCGGACTGCGCACGCAAATCGAGGTGACTCTAAATGAGGTTTTCAAAGCCTCGGAATCACAGGATTTAATTTAAAAGCAAGTGATGACCTTTTGGGTCATCATAGATCTTAATCTGTTCCGAAATAGCTGCAACTAAATTGTTGTAGCTGAATGTCGACTCGATAATTACACAATCGCTGACGAAATTGATAAACTTGTTTTCTTCCCATTCACCACTATGAAGGACGTAAACTGGAAAAAGCTCCATCGAACATAATATTGAAATCAAAATTGCAGCAAAAATGAAAATTGCGCTGATTTGCAGCCAAAAAATTCACTTTTCGTGTTTGATTTTGCTGTTAATTCGAGATGAAGAAGAAATTCTAGGGTTTTTTGGAGCTGCATTGATCGCAAGATCTCGTTTTTGTACATTTGGGGAAGAAGAATGGAAATAATTAGAGAAAATCCCGCTGAAAGAAAGAAAATCCCGCTTCTGACTCTCAAAAAACGGAAATAACGCCCCTTTTTTCGGATATGGGCCTCTAATTTTGGGCTATTCAATTGTAAATTGAAATATGGATTATAAAGTTGAAAAGGAGACGACCCACTTGTTTTAATATAAAAATTTCCCATTTAAATTCCGTAATATTCTTCGCGCATGGCATGGATATCGAACGTCCGTGGTGTGAAAAAGCGGACTAGTAGGTATTAAAAGGAGGGTCTTAGCATGTGCCCTAAGACCGAATGCATTAAAGACTTTGACGACTTTGTGGTGGCGTGAAGCGTGTTATACTAACACGAATACTGTTTTAAGTCTTGGTAACATAATTCTAATTGTTCGGTGTCCTACTAATTAAGAACCCCATAAAGAAACATATTCTTTTTATTTATCCATGTGATGATTTTATGAAGAAAAAAAAATGAACAAATGATGCTTTTTTAAAGTTATTGTAAATGATACTATATATGTTCCATTTTATAAGTACATGGTCTAATTTTTCCAGATAATTAATGAGAAAGTACAAATATGTATATTGAAGAACTAGAGAATGTCTAGTGGTAAAACTGTCAACATTCAAGTGGGGTGTACAAATCGAACCGAAAAATCGCACCAAATCGAAAAGTCAAATCAAACCGATTAAAAACCTCGACTTGGTTTGGTATTGAGTACAAAAATCCAAACCAACCCGACATATAAATATATAATTTTTATATATATATTTTAAGATTTTATATAAAATTTTCTTTAAAAAATGTCTAGAAATATTTGAGATTCTCTTACGGGATATAAAATTTAATAGAATATGAAGTGCTCCATATTTATTGACCTTAAATAATGGGTTGTATGATCACTTTCTTATCAAGCGTTACTGAAATGCGTCTACCTCTTTGTTCTTCCATATTCATATCATATGTTAAGATCTATTAAACTTTATATCTTTTTCGAATGTGAGTGCTTATTAGTATTTAGGTATCATATTGATTTTTATGTTTAATTACTAAATTCGGTTAACCTGAAGGTGTATATCAACGAAAAATTATCGTCAGACGACTAAAAAAATTATTATTATGTGTTACTAATAGAATTCTCCCATAAGAATATTTTAATTGATAATATATTTGTCAATCTTTTTTGTATTTTTACTAAATAGATATATACTTATTAAATATTTAACAAAAAAGATTGAAATAATATGTAAGTAACAAAAAATCCGAAAACCCAACAAAATCGAACCAATCCAAATCGATATAGTTGGTTTGGTTTGGTTTTGACAAAAATCAAACCAACCGGGTCGATGTACACCCCTACTTTCAAGCACTTCCTTTGTTTCAAAAGAGACCTTCGTAAATTTTAATTATAATATTGTCATTTTTAATGAAACTTCCTTTTAGAAATGATATATATGTCTAAGTTGAAAGATTATTTTCGATATACAACTTCATTTTAGACCGCAAGATCAACTTTTTTATATTTAAATGCACAGAAAACGAAACCAAGGGAGTACACGTTGCTGGAGAAATTTTATTTTGTGTTTCACATTCCACATCACACTTATGTGAGGCATTTGAGTACTTGACAAGTAGATTCATGGGTCCCATTTGTTTACTTTAAAGATAAAACTAAAAAAGGCAATTTAAAAGTCAATTTAATATGCCTAACTAAGGACAAAAATAAGTAATAACATAATAATCAAAATGATAAGAAAATATACGCATTTAAAAAGCTAAACGTTCTTTTCCTTCCGATCGGCACATGAATTTCAGAAGCTAAAACATATACTCCTATTTGAGTTGGAAAAATATGCTAACTTATAAATTCTTTTTTTTTTCGAGTATGAAAAAAGAACTTTGTTTAACAATTTTTGTTTGAAACTTTTTTTAGACCATTTCTCGATTGAAACTTTTTTAAGACCATTTCTCGCTTTTAACTTTTTCCAGTTGACAAGAGCTTGAAAAATAATCATCTTGTTATGCTTAATAATAATTAAATATATCAAAAAGAAGGAAAAATTATTATTGATTATTTAGAAAAGTAACTCACATTAATATAATAGAGACGGACAATTGCAGAATAATATAAAACGTTCAATGTTTATTAACTCATCAAATTGTTACTTGCTAGCATTCTTCAAGCCTCTCTCCAATAATATAATTCCAATCCATATGTGGAGCCAAAAAAAGTTTCAATGATGGTGATGATCTAATCGAGGAATGGTATAAAAAAAATCAATCGAAAAATGGTCTAAAAAAAGTTGCAAAAAAATTGTTAAACAAAGTTTTGTTTTCATACATAACAAAAAAAAAGAATTTATAAGTTAGCATAGTTTTCCAACTCAAATATTAATATATGTTTTAGCTTCACAAATACATGTGCTGATCGGAAGGAAAAGAACTGTTAACTTTTTAAATGCATATATTTTCTTACTAATTTGATTATTATGTATTTTACTTATTTTTGTCCTTAATTAGACGTATTAAATGACTTTTAAATTGCTTTTTTAAGTTTTATCTTCAAAGTAAACAAATGGAATTCATAAATCCACTTGTCAAGTAATCTGAGACCTCACATAAGTATGAGGTGGAATGTGACACACAAAATAAAATTTCTCACGTTGCTGTACATACTACAGTGCAATGCAATTCCTGTCAATTTGGGGCATGTGGTTGGAGAAAAGAAAAAGATCTACTACTATTTGGAAAACAATTGGTCAGAAATGTAGACGTAGGACCCACGACTTGTTACATCCCTTTCGGCCCATCTTCCTACTTTATGAACAAGTAAAAGAAGCGCTCAATATCTTAACAATCCGCTGTTCCCTTCATTTCAAGTTTCTACGAGTAATAAATAGTTGCACTCTTTCGTTTATTTCCCTTCTTTCTTTTCTTATACTCCTATATTGAATTAAAACTGCTCCAAATAGTTTCCACATTCTCCCAGAGATCTGGTAATTCTCTTTCTCCAAATGGGTTCTCTCTGTTTTCAGAATATGTTGCAGTTTTAAGTGTTTTTACTTTCCAGATTATGTCTTTTCTCTTGTTTGTACTTTTGAGTATATATCCTTAACGATGTAGTAATGCTCTTTGTTCTCTTTCAAGTTTCTCCTAATCAGTGATTTTGTTTCAGTTTTAGGTGTTCTCTTTTTCGCACGGCAATTTTTTTTCCCCCTTGTTTGTACTTGTGAGTTTCACTGATGATCCAATAATGTTTTTGGGTAAAAACTTGCCCGCACTTGCACCAAATCATACTAATTTATTACGGTTACGTGATAAGTTGAGATGAGAATGTCTATTGATTAACTATGGTTTAGTGATAATCGTGTATGTAAAGATAGCCATTTCTACCGTCACCAAATGGGTATTCATATGTTTCAGATTTCGTTGCAGTTTCAGGAGTATGCTTGTCAAGTTTGTCTTTTTTCTTTCTTTTCTATTTTGTTCTTCCCCAATTTAAGGTTGTTTTGATTGAATGTCTTGTCCCTTTGAATCATTGTGTGGTAAAGGAATGGTTCAATCTGATCGTCTTCTTCATCGATCTATTTCTGCATGATTTTTAGGCAAGAGTCGGTGAATGATGAATATACTCTTTTAGGACTATACCGATATTGTGGACATAGTCGGTTAAAGACTAGTATACTGTTTACAATCATGGTGCTTTGTTTCATCGTATATGGTTTTCTCTTATTTCTCAAAGATCAAGAATGAATTTTGATCAACAGGTTGAAATTCAAGTTCATTCAGGTTTCTGGTGAACTACTCAGATGAGTGAATACATTCTTGTTTTAGTTTTCAATTTTTTCCCCTGCTAATCTCTGTATCTTTCCAAGTTTATTGGAAGGGACATTGATTAGATTTTATTTCTTATCTGCTAAGCAGTTTTATGTTTTTCTATTAGTAATTTGCTTCGAAACTCGAAGAGCCATGTTTGCGTATCTTAGGTCTTCTCCCCCTGTATTATCCTATGTTACTCGAACTCTCCAAAAATGACGCCGGGTGTGCAAAGCCAGACCAAGATTTGATGTTTATGAGTTCTGAATTTGCCCTGAACCCATTCCTCGTTTTAGTTACTGGGTTCACAATGAAATATTTAATGAATTTCCTTACACAATACATGATCTAAGCAAAAGTTAATGGGTTTTTCCGAACCTGTAAAAAGTACACTAGCTCCGCCCCGGTGGTGTGTGTCAGATCTTCCAAAAGTAGTACATTTTTTAAGGATCCAACGCGGGTGCGGCAGCATTTTGGAGAGTCCGCGTAACAGAGGTATTATATGGACATTTTGGTCTCCCTTGTGTTGATCTGCATATGATAATAGTGAATCAATTACCTTAGACCCATTTCCAAAGATGTTTTCTGCTATATTCCTCCCCTTCATTCTTTGGAAGAGGATTCCTATTATAGAAGCACTAGAACATGTATCTCTACTTCCTTCTTTCTATTGTTGGGGACAGAACACGAATTATCAGTATTATATGCCATGAGTTTCAAACTTTAATTGAGCCGTATCAGCTCTCTTAATAGCCTTATTATCTGTGTTTTAGGAGAATCTCTATCACACTTAACCATTATATATTTAATTTCTGAGCCAAATACTAATTTTGATATTGTTTAAGATCCTTAGAACCAAAATGGAGCATGAAGACAGCTACCAGCTAGTTTCAGAGCCAAAATATGAATGCCTTCTCTTTGGTAAGGCTTTATTTGTAACCTGTTCTCTTTACAAAAGAAGATTGCCTTGTGTAGTCATTCCTAAAGTTGCTTCTACCTCAATGTGCAGATGTTGATGATACACTTTATCCACTGAGCTCCGGTCTTTCAGCGCAATGCACGAAGAATATCATTGGTAATTTAGTAGTTTTCTTTAGTTTGATACTTCCCTGCATAATTGCTTCTTTGATAATTGTTTAAATAATCAATAATCTTCTGTTGGTTGCATCGTTTAGATTATATGGTTGAAAAGCTTGGCATAGATGAGGCTAAAGTTCCAGAAATGTGTGTAAGCTTATATAAGGAATATGGAACAACCATGGCTGGTCTCAGGGTAAGATTATCACTTGTTTGAATTAACTATTCTCACAGTTAGTTTAGGCTGTCCATATTCTAAACTTTGCATTCATTCTTTGCAGGCCATTGGTTATGACTTTGACTATGATGACTACCATAGGTACCGGTTCTTCTCTATGTTTCCTTGCACATCTCCTTGTATTGTTTTCAAATAAGAAGTACCTAATGCGATCTTCCTTGACAGTTTTGTACATGGGAGATTACCTTATGAACTTTTGAAGACTGACCACGTTTTGAGGAATCTTTTGCATAGCTTGCCTGTCCGGAAAGTTGTAAGTTACACATTCTTACATAGCACTACAAACAAATACCTTAGTGACTGTTGACGATGTTGATGTAATGTTCATATTTGTTGTGATTGAAACAGATATTTTCAAATGCGAATGAAGCCCATGTGGCAAAAGTTCTAAGCAGGCTGGGATTGGAGGACTGCTTTGATGATATCATATGCTTTGAGACTGTGAATCCTACTCGCAACAGCAGTGTTGCACAAGACAATATCAATGGCGGTGAGTTTTTAGCCAAAATCTAATGCCATTCCTCTTGAAACGGTTGTAATATATTAACTAATATAGATACTGCTTCTCCTCCCAGAATCTGCTAAGACTCTGGTTGTTTGCAAACCCTTCGAAGAAGCCTATGAACAAGCCTTTAAAATAGCCAATATTAACCCTCAGAAGACGGTATGTTATTAGCCTCTCTTTCACTCTGGTGGTTGAGTCTGAATTTCAATCTTTTACTGGTTTACATGAATTCTAACCTAATACTTTTATCTTTCTGCTTTCCTCAGCTATTCTTTGATGACTCGGTCCGTAACCTTCAGACTGCTAAGCTCATGGGCCTTCATACGGTTTGGGTAAGTAAAATTACTAATTTTTGGAGCAACAAAAAGAAAAAAATGTCATGCTTCTTCCTTGTTATTTGTTACTTTATGCTTATGAATTTCACTTATTTGGTATAGGTGGGAGCCTCACATAGAACAAAAGGTATAGATTATGCACTAGAGAGCATTCACAACATGAAGGAAGCATTACCTGAGTTATGGGAAGATGTTAAACCAGATGTTCGCATCTCAGAAAAGACTGCTATTGAAGTGAGAGTTTAGCTGGGTGTAATCTCACAATAAAGATTACCAAATACTAGTACTAGTATTTATTTAATTTCTTTTCCTTCTCTAGTTTCCTCCTTTGCCTGTTAACATGAATAACAGTAGTCATTGATTTCATCCCCTAACTGTATTATTATTGCTTAGTGGATGTGAAATCTTTAATGTGACTGTAAAAGCTTCTCTATAAAAGTAAGTGTTGGCATGTAAATTCGCTGATGGCTGTTGAAACTCGTTGAGTTGAAAGTATTTGGTTATTTCTCTTTTCTAGTTAAATTGTTTTCTGGGATAGAGTCACCATAAATATGATCTATGGGCAAAGTTACCCGCATAAAACTTTTTCATCACTAAAGGTATATTTTATCGTGTGACTCCCTAACTCTATTTTCCAGATATGGGATGAGTATCACTTTGTTTAAGAATTTTTAGTGAACCTTTTCCTTTCCTTTGCTTCCCCCCTCTAAGTTTGGTTTCAATTCCCAGAAAGAATATATATATATATATATATATATATATATATATGTGAGATAGAACAGCCATTAAAGAACACGATTAATGGAAATTAAGATTGAAAACGCCACTTTATATGCTTGAACAACAGAGGATTCGACAACTATAAATCCATGAGACAGTGCAAAAGGGAACGCGAGGATTATTTCATTGGAAATAAGTTTCAAATGCAAGTAAAGCTGCTAGTTACATAAGCAAAGGGAGATCGTATAAGTGCCAGCACCACATGATAAAAATCAAATTGTTCAGTTTGTTAAAGTTTAATTAGACTTGAGAATGATCATTATCAACAGGTTCATAACTCGGCCTTTCCATCTCTGCAGCATCAGTTACCATCTTCATCCACCACAAAGTCTTTGTGGTGTCGCCTTTTTACCTTGGCCCTCACTTGTTTCATTATGTCCTAGGTTTAATGGAAGCTTTCTTAACTGCCACTGCTTGCTTGTATGGTTCTGGCCTCTCAACTCTTGCAGTACCTTCACAAGCCACAATGTTCATAATTTCCTTCCCAAAAATTACCTTCTCATACAGAAATCTCTCTTGATTTTCACGCGGTAAAGCTGCCTCCATCATGTCAAACATAGAAGAGAAGTGAAATAGTGCCTCTTAATATCGACTTACAAAGAAAGTTGAGTTATATCCCCCGTTTTCGTGTGTTTCCTTTGTTAGCATCGCAATTAATTCACATCTTCTTGAATGTGCATGCTGTAACATACACCTGAAACATAGACAAATTTAGGATCTAAAGCCAGAATGACAGTGATCTTATTATCTATATATTTTTAAAATTTCTTTTTGCATTGATCTTCCTATTGCAAACTTGATCATTGCTTGCGGGTGTTCTAGTTAGGTGGTTATTAAATTCCATTTCAACAATCAAAGATGTTTAAATCTTTTGTGACATAATTAATACAAGAAGAAGAAAAAAACCTTATCATGTAGAATTCGTGAGGAAGAATGACGAGTACTCCTATTTTGAGGCACACTTTCTTGGAAACAAAGGTAAAAAAGGCTGGTAAGTTTGGGAGTATTGCAGCCGCCCTAAGCAGCAGTGCTTAGTGCTCCGTCGTCTCTTCAACATCGTTTATTCAAATAAGTACTATTTTCAACTCCATGCATTTTTTTTTTTCAAACCAAACGCCTACTTTAGATCAACTGCAATAAATGTTGCATGCTTTGGTTTGTTTATAACAAATATCATTCGCTACCATTCAATGATCATGTACAAAGTTTAGAAATAAAAAAATTCTTTGATCGAATGACAAATATCCTAAGGAACAATTCAACAATCAAGAAATCACAATTTGAACGATAATATCTTCAAAACGCAATATCACTTGTTATAACTAACACTTTGATACTGGTGAAGCATATTTACTTTGAAAAAGAAATTGACTATTCAAAGTGACTAAATATTTAAAAAAAAAAAATTATCAATGATTCCTTTTTCATTTTTCTCCCATCTTAAATAATTAGATGACTGTTTGCTGTTTCTATTGAAATTTTTTGTTACCCTTACTTGAGGAAATTTCCCGCAGATACAGATGACAAAGACGCAATTAAACATAGATCGTGATGGATCAGCTGGACTATACAATTATGGACATCTATTTTTGGGATGTAATCACTTGAAATTGCTTTATCAATTGGACCGTCTAATATAGTAAAAGCGTCAAGAAAATGACAAGCGCAAAACAAAAAGGCGGCATACGATGTAAGAAGACATTATACTGTAATAAGTCAAATATTAAACCAAAAGGCAAATATGTCTTCCAAACCAAACGTCAAATCATAGATCTCAATGAAGTTTAGTCCAAACTAAATTGACAAATTATACTGTACAAGTAAGCAATAATCATTTTATGGACCAGGTTCGTTACGTTCCCCAACAGCTAAATCTTCCGGCTTCTATTTGAGGCTTTATAATTCCAAATAGTGTTATTAGTGATTTTTAATTAAGATATTGAAACCATTTTATAATTTATCATTTTAGTTGTGAATATAAAAAAAGTGTCTTGGCTTTAATAGTTAAACTTTTAAATGTAATGGTTTACACAATTCCATGAGCAAGGTATTAGAGTAGATAAATATTCTGGATTCAAATCCAACCAGTAACTACCATAAATAGTTTTTACACTTGGTTGGCACAAGAAAATGAATCAAGCTTGTACCTCTAATCCGTATTTATGCTCTTAATAAAAAGAATCAAATAAAAGGTTAAAATACAGTATAAATGAAATCAAGATTCCTATTTTCTTAAAGATAGTGCAGGACAAATATCGGATAAAACTTGTCTCATAATTAATGATATCTTTTTTACTGACATTATCTTTTTTTTTTTAAGCATGTGATAACATGTCTTTGAGATGTCTTCTTTAGTTTTTTCTAGTAGGTTCGGATTTATTTAATTTAGTGATTTTTCCTTAGTTAAATAGAACAATGGTAGAACAGATTCTTTTCTTTCAGTTCATCAAAAAGTTTTATTACCATAAGAATATTCACCTGATAATAAGGGAAAACCAACGCCAAATATATAAGAAAGAACAACAAAAAGGAGGGAGAATTGCTTCAAATATTACGCTTCACCTATCAACTTAATGAAAGGTGGCTTAACAACATGAAATTCATAAAATTGAAGGTAAAAGACAAATTTAAAAGTTAATTTGGTCAACATTTTTTCCCTTTCAAAAAAAGAAAAGATATGAGAAATTATGCAACTACCATAGTCACCACAAGATTATCTTTGTCAAGACAAAAGATGCAACTTATCCTAGAAACTTGTTACACATTTTTGTTAAACCAAAAAACTGAACTGGAAAGGGAAAGAAAGTTGCAACATAATGGGTTTTAAAATTCTCCTTGATACATAGAATTGAACTGATAGACAACTCAACTCAACTCATTAGGCTAATTTAGAGAACGTAGATAGATAACAACTACCACTAGTTAGCCAATTGTACACAGAACGATCACAAGGAGACCAGGCAAGCAAAATCATATGTTTTTCACCATATTAAGCTTAATCAAGATTAGCAAAGACCAATCCTTTCTAGGGACAACATTATGTACAGAATGGCTAGATAACACGGTCGGTTTTGGCTACATAACAGCATCCTATGAACTAAAACGAAAATTGTGCCACCACCCAAGCAGCTGCATACAGAAGTGCAATCTCATGCATGAATGCAGTCCTCCTATGATCTTTTCTGGAGACCTCAGGATTCCCAGTTTGACAACAAACTAGTTCCAGATACTTCTATGCTGGCACCCAACACGAGCTAGCACATACTACCCGGCCTTTCCAACCCTGTAACATCCAATTACCATCCTCATCAAACACAAAATCTCGGTGGTATCCCCCCTTTACCTTGCACCTTAACTTCTGCATGAGTTGTTGGTTTAAGGGAAGCAGCTTGAATCCAGCCCTCATATTGCGGACCTGCCATTGCTTATATGTCTCAGGCCTCTCAACCCTCTCGGACCCTTCGCAAGCAATTACATTCATTGCCTCGCGCCTATAAAACTCTTGTTCAAAATGCAACCTCTGCTGATCATCACGGGGTAAAGTAGCATCAAACATGTCAAAGAGAGTTGAGTAGTGGAAGAGGGCCTCCCTGAAGCGAGTGACAAAGAAGGGTGCACTGTAAGATCCATTGACTACAGCTTGCACAAAGATATCTGGATTCATCTTTCTAATTAAGCTCAGAACTGCATCCCTTGGACTGTCCACAACCACTGTCTCATCCAATAGGTTCTTAAGACGAAAAAGGCAGTTCACAGCAACAGTCTCGCCACTTAAAAGTTTCAAGTCTTCAATTTTAATATTCTCCCAATTCTGTGTTGCTATCGCATTATACTCAAATGGAACATGAAAGCGCTCGCAATATTTTGCCAGGCGGCTCCCCGTCTGTTCTAAGCTTTCTGCTGGCCTGAAGCCAGGTTGGGGAAGGTCTATTCCAGTAATGCGAAGTTTTGGAGGCCCACCAGGTATCTGTGAGAGAAGCTGGATGAGTATTGGCCACTGGAAACCGTATGTTATACCAAAATCTATGAGATGCAATGTCCTGGCATTCGATGCTGTGTGGAAGATCATTTTATTCGCAAAGAATATTGATATTTTCTTGAACGGGCATGATGAAAGGTAAACCTGGTATGCTTTCAATTTCTCAGCAGCTGTGATCCTTTTCGGGGCAAGGGCAGCATATTGTTGAGTGCCAGTGCCAGCTAACCGAGCTTCAAGGCCATCTGCAAATACACTGGCCAGCCTCTGGTATGCATCACCTGTGGGTGAAGAATGCTGCCTGATCTGCTTTAGCTGTTCATTTGCCGTCCTGCGATCGTCAGCAGCAACAGATTGTGCACAGCTAATTAAGAGAGTCCTTATATCCACAGCTTCATTTTTAGTCCCTTGCTTTTTAGCACGAGTTTTTCCACCATTTGATCCATGTGCTTGTCCATTCTGACCTGAACACTTGTTTACTTCAGATGGCATCTCACGCTTGACATCACCACATCCTGTCCCCTTATCTGTACAAAGCAGAACCCTATCAAACATCTCTGATAACTCAACCTCCTCCTCCACATATATTGCTGATTGTTTGTTGCTCCTTTCGTCCTCGTGATCACTGTCCTCGGGATACTGATGCTTTCTTCCTTTTGTGCCATTAGGTGAGTGATTCTTCTCATCCTTCTCTACCTTGACGACAGCCTCTTTGGATACTTCCTCCATCTTTGGAGGCAATGAATATTTATCCAAATCGATGACAAATTGACTAAGGTTTGGAAGGAATTTACTAGCTTCCTCCATCCCTCTCTTGAATTGTAAGATGGACTCACTATCAGTAAATACATTAGGATTTACTAAAGAGTCCACATGGGCATTTGAATTATTGAAGTTGTTTACAGAACCATGGGACCTCTCTGAGTTACTCTGCACCAAAGGTTGGACGTTGTATTCCGATGGATGACTCTCTACCGGCAACCTAGATTCTCCAGGATCAACAACCCATTGAGGATCGGTGGAATTAGTACCAGTATTGCTACTACTTGTACTATGCTCGCTGGAATTCCAGAAATTGCTGTCTGGGCTTTTTAACTGATGGTCAACATAATCAGAGGTACGATAGGGTGAAGGAGGGTACGACTTGCCAAGGGCTTCATAGAAGGACTTCTCAGCAGCTTTTAGAGCAAGCGGATCATGGAACATGCTGGGCTTATCTTCAATATTCTCCTCCATTAGTATCTGGTTAAGGTACTTGAATAGAGAATCAGAGTCGTGATCATCCGGAGAGTCCACTTCCGAGCTCACATTTGAAGATGGAGCAAAGTTACCAACGTCTGGGCTTGATGTATTGTAAGGGGCACCAAAAGCTACATAGTTATCCGTATAACTGAGAGGATGATTCAGTGATTCCTCAAAGCGAGACAAATTGATCTGATCTTCGAACTCGAAAGTGTTTACAGGATGAGGCAACGGATTGAACCGAGGATCCATAAAAGTTGTGTACAGAACAATCTACAAATAAAGCAGAAAGGAGGAAAAGATTACAAGGAGAAAAGAGGGATGAAACAAAAAATTTCATTGGGTTGCAATAAACAATGAGAATATACTAAGCTGTGCATATATTGAAAAGGTGATAACTATTTTTTTTATCATAAGCAAACTTATACTGGCTAATATCGATATAAGACTCCAAAACAATAGAAGAACCAGATAATGGGTGGAAACAAAACCTAAGACTTTTCAGAAACTTAATTGGTCACATTAAACTTATGAAAAAAAATCAACGTTTCACTAACATCTGAAAGAGAAAAAAGTAATTCCAGACTATTAAAATGAAAACTCTGATTCAACAAGCACAGAAATCATCAGTGGAAACATGAATACTGATCAATTAATTGCAATAAATCAAAACAAACATTGACGATATCACCCAATGAATCAAAGCAATGAATAACAATATGACTCAAAATCGAAACACGAAAATAAATAATTAAAAAAAAAAAAGAACTGAAAGAACGAAGATCAAATCTAAGTTACAAACTTCACAAATGAAAGAGAAGACAGGCGCAAAACACCAAACTGGAAAAAAATGTGAACACCATTAATTTTTAGTTCTCTTTCATAAGATTAGATTCTTTTTTTAAAAAAAAAAAAAAAAAAGAAGTTTCTAAAGGAAGATAAGAAACTCCATAAGCCTGGACAGAATAATAACATCGAGAAGAACAAAAACCCAATTGAGAACTGAAGAAGTTGGGGGAACCATTTCTCAACTTGAAAAGCAAAAGTTTTACAACCATTTGTGTCTGCTGGTGTGCGTACCTTAGACTAAAGTGACGAGATGGCAGCAAAGAAGTTGAGCGGTGAAGTGAAAATGGGAGGCTCTCTCTCACTTTTTATTTTTGAGGAGAAAGAAAAGGCAAAAAGGTGCGAAGAGGATATGAATATTAAAACCCAAGGATCCAATACTGCGCCTTTATTAAACCAAGAGAAAAAGGGAAAAGGGAACCTTCTGTGAAGGAGAAGAAAAGAAAGTTAATGTTAAAAGTAAAGATCAGATAAAGCTTGACGGATCGTGGTTCTTACCCGCTAGCGCCAGTCAAACATGGGTCATGGCTTGCATCAAACCAGGTCATCTTCTATCTTTGTCTGTGTCTGTGCAGTGTGTGCAGCTCATTGGTGTTTGCTATGAGCCACAGTCCCACTTAGCTTTTTGAGGGCCAAGTAAAGTAATAATCATTGCTATTTAAAATATATTTACAATTAATATATTTAAAGATCAGTTAATTCATCTAAACTTCAGGCTACATTTTCTAGTGTTTTGAATTTTTGAGCTCCTAATTTGAAATTTAGGACTAAGAGCTTGTTTGGCCAAGCTTTTCGAAGGCCAAAAGTACTTTTTTTTTGTCACAAAAATAATTTTTGAAAAATTTAATGTGTTTGGCCAAAATAAAAAAGTACTTTTGGCTAACAGCAGAAGTCGTTTTTCTGCTTTTGGTAAGAAGCAGAAAATTCTAGCTTCTTCCAAGAAGCAGAAGCAAAAAATTAATTTATTTAAGACAAAACTATCCTCGCCATAAATTTATATTTTCCAACTTATTCTTTACATTTTCTTTCCGTGTATATATATATATA